CTGGAAGAGGACAGAAACATTTCTGTTTTGGATACTTCCCCCCAAACATGTCGTAGATCAATCAGTGCATGACGTTTCCGTGAGGCAGGAAGCACTGGCCGGTCCTGGCTTTCTGCCGTGATCCTCCGCAGGGTCACCAGCTTGGGTGAGCAAAAATTCTTCACTTATTTTTAAGCATTACAGCAATGAAGCTTAAATAAGTGAATACTTGCCTCACTGCAGTCTCCGCCGTCTCTGTCCAGGTGCAGAGGCCTCCCAAAGCATTGCTGTGAGAGGCTTACATAAGTGAAGCAGCCTTAATGCAAGCTTATCACCTTAAATGAGCTGCACCCTCGGCAAAGTGGGCAGGGCAAGGGGAGGCAGGCAGAGGAGGATGGGTGAGGCCACAGCAAACATGGTCTACGGGGACAGGAGGACAGCTGTACCAGCTCACTTCCCAGGGGCCCTCACCGCGATGCCCATCCCAGAGAGAGAGCTCAGGGTCAAAGACCCCCTTGGGAAACAAAAGAGGAAGCCCAGGGCACCAGGGTCCTTCCTGCAGCGCAGCTTGTGACCCGCCCCAGGGATTTTTGCGCTCGGCTATTTTTCTGCAAGGAGGCAGCGCCACCTGCCGTCCACTCCGCGCAGATGCTGTTGGGGGCCTAAAAATTAGTCTCATCAGGAAAATTGATCTCCCCAGGCTGGGCAGCCGCGGATGCGAAGAATAAACCTGATTACCCTGTTTCAGACCCTTTGACTTCTGTTAATGGGTAACTGCCTTTTTTTTTTTTTGGTCAGGGAGTCAGTTACTGTAGTCTTTTTCTAACTACACAAATGATGTGGCTTATTCCAAATTTAAAAAAATAATAAAACTTTAGAAAAGTGATACGAAGAAGTAAAACTGACTCCCAACCCCATTCTTGAAGTGAGACAGCTGTGTTGGCCGCAGGTCTCCCTGCACGCTTAGAGACCCCGTGGTTCCAGGAGGAGCAGATAAAGGATATAGTTAGTGGATCAGAGCACTGGAGTCGGAGGGCCTGGGTTAGAGTCCCAACTCCACCGCTTCTTAACTTTGTGCGCTAGCACAGGTGTCTCTCTTCTGCTCGCCGCGGCTTCCCCATCTGTACACTGGGGATAATGGTCAGAGCAGGCCCCCACAGCATTGCTGTGAGGGTTAAATCAGTGAATGATCTGTGAAGAGCTTACAGTGAAGAAACTAGGCACAGAGAGGGCAAGCACTTCGAGGCCACATAGCCAGGACATGGTGCAAACCCTGGTGTGCCTGGCTCCACACGGCACTCTTCAACCACTAAATGAGCTCTCTGTTCTGACAAGCTGTGGCAGCTTCGAGTTACCCCTGAGGCCCTGCTTGTGGTGAAGAGATGAACGCTTGGCGTTTGCAAGGAGCACAGCCTTCCCCCACCCAGCAGGGAGGGGCTTGGTGCCAAGGCCGACTCTGCTGTGAGACCCTAGGGAGTCACAGAGCCTCTCTGAGACACACCTTTCCATCTGGAAAATGGAAACAGTAGTACATGCTTCCTGGGACTCTTCTAAGGCTTAAGTGAGCTAATTTGCCCTCCAACATGGGTGAGGATGTTTAATTTGCTCACAATTCAGCACTCAAGGGCCTGGGCTCATTGTTGCTAAACCATCCGGAGTGCCAAATGCCCACACCACACGGTCACACATCAGCTCCATTCCGGCCTTTGCAATTTATGGACATACATCTCTGCTTATTGGAAAAAGTGTCCAGATAGTCTCCGGTAAAAACACAGGATGACCACTGAGATTGGCAGAGTCAAGGGGACTTGCTGCGGCAGCCGGTGGCAGGGAGAGGGGGACAGAAGAGGGGCTCCCAGATCCCCTGAACCTGCATCTCTGAAATGCACCAGGAAACAAGATGCCAATACTCTATGCCTCAATTTCTCCATCTACATATGCAATCAAATACGGGGCTATTTCCAGCAACAGGACAAGGCCTGTGTGGGGCTGTTGCATGGTGGGCTGGCCACAAGTGTGGATCCGTTTTTTTTTTTTTTTTTGCTCGGCTGTTTTTCCGCAAGGAGGCAGCGCCACCTGCTGTCCACTTCGCGCAGATGCTGTTGGGGCCTAAACATCGGTCTCATCAGGGATATTGAGTTGAAAAGACAGGGACTCCCGGGGGCCTCTGACCGAGCAGCCCTGGGCCCCAGCGCGCCTCTGCCCTGTGCACCGTGTGATCCGGTGGAAGCCGCCCACCCCTCCACAGGGCCCTGCTTTTCTAGAAAACACCCCTGGGTTTGTCTGCCTATTCCTACCTCAGGTGGCAAGCAGGGGACAATCCCCAGCGAAGGCAGGCATGGGGGCATTGCTGGCTCAATGTGGTCAGCTGCCGTGGCAGTCTGCGCTTCTCTCTCTGCACACGAGGGCACGGTGGGCAAACGGACTCCTCTCCGCAGTTCAGTTACCTTGGCTGCGAAGTAGGCCTCTGAAAAGTGACTGCAAGGATTATGTGAAATGTGTATGCAGTTAATATCTTTAATAATATATTTTATACATACATACATCATATACTTTACACATCTATAAAGGGAGCAGGATGGAAGTGGGCTCGGCAAGCCTCAGGTGGTTATTTTAGCTGGGGGGAGGGGCTGTGAGAATGAAAATTCTGGAAACTGAGTCAGCTGCAAGCCAGGTGCTTCCTGAAGGCCTGTGGGGGAGGATACTGCCCGGCCACCCCAGGAGAATGGGAAGAGAGTAAGGGAGGGAGCCCTCATCTTTGCTCCTTTGGTAAAAGGCAGAAAGCTTTGCATCTGTCCATGTCAGCAGGTAATGGGCCTTAACACGTTGTGGAAGTCACTGCGGCTCAGCCAGCAAGAGCGGGGCACAGGGATCACTACTGATGTCTGCTGCGGGTGCCAGAGGGGCCCATGTGTTCACCCTAAATTGGCCACCATGCCTACACCTGGATTTTACTGCCTTTTAAACGTTGCTCACATTTGACATTTCATCCTCCCCACCAGCGTTCTGCTAAAATGTTAAGTCTTCATGGTGATCTCTGCACTGGCCCTTTCCTGGTGATTCTGACAGACTGCTGTTCTCTGCCTTTCTTATTTGCTGTGCTGTGTCTCCATCCATTTCCTTCTCTATGTGGGTGTCTGAGGTGAGGTATGCGGGGGCCACTGGCTGAGAGCTAGCGGGGGCAAAAATGCCCAGAGGACACTTCCCCTGAGTGCAGGGGGCAGCTGCTGCCAGAGCTGAGGGGCTGCAGTGGGCTGCGAGGATGGGCGCCAGCTTTGCCCATCTGGCTGGTTGAGAAAGAAGTAATGAGACAGGCAGGCACAGCTCTGGGGGCAGAGAGTCTGGGGCCCAAGTCTTAGCTTTACCCCGGCTTAGGTCTGGGGCCCTGACAAGTCCCTTAGGCCTCCTGAGCACAGCCGTGTCCTTTTGCCACAGTCACAGAATCCTTTTCCAAAGGCTGAGCGGGCCCCGCCTGGTACATGTGGCCCTGCCAGCAAGAAGGGCAGAGGCAGCCGAGCACCAGGGTCCTTCCTGCAGCGCAGCTTGTGACCCGCCCCAGCGATTTTTGCGCTCGGCTGTTTTTCTGCAAGGAGGCAGCGCCACCTGCTGTCCACTTCGCACAGATGCTGTTGGGGCCTAAAAATCAGTCTCATCAGGAAAATTGATCTCCCCAGGCTAGGCAGCTTGTGACCACCCCAGGGATTTTTTGCGCTCGGCTGTTTTTCTGCAAGGAGGCAGCGCCACCTGCTGTCCACTTGACGCAGATGCTGTTGGGGGCCTTAAAATCTGTTTCAGGAAAACTGATCTCCCCAGACTGCACAGCAGCGGATGAGGAATTACCCTGATTACCCCATTTCAGGCCCTGGGGTCAGCAGCCAGGTGTGTCCCAGCTGTTTTCCTGAGCAGTGTGGTAAGATTGCAGAGAGGAGCCATTAAAGGTGGAAGAGAAATGAAGCCAGGGGTTTGGGCTTCCTCCTAAAGCTGAGAATGCTTTTCCAGAAGCTAGAACCAGACTGTTGCATGCTTGGGCAGGTCACCTTTACTGGGCTTAGCTCTGCCAGAGCTGGCTGTGGGACCAGGCAGGGGCAAAGTCACTTCCTCCTTTAGCATCTCAGTTTTTTCACTGGCAAAACTGGAGAGAGCATTTTTCCTCCCTACAGAGTTGAGAGGGTGTGCTGGGGGCTGCTTACCCAGCCTGTGGAGCCAGACTCAAGAACAGGCGTATTTGCCTGTGCAAGTCGAACATGAAGCCTTCACCCTGAGCATTCTAGAAATTGCTTTCAGGAGTAGGGGACAAAGGTTATAAAATGTTTTTATCCTATTGTTCCAAAAATGATTTAAGTAATACTAAAAAAAGAAAAAAACTCACTTATGCATAATGACAAACATTAGAAAAGATGCCACGGAAATCCCAGTGGTGCTTTAGTGAAGGTGGTCTGACGATTCTGCTGCTGCTGCCGCCGCCTTCTGGCCGGCCCACACTGCTGGCTCTGAGTCCTCCTGCAGCACAGAGGGGGCCCTATGCGAATATCAGTTTCATCAAACTGCAGGACTAGACGTGTCAAACACGTTGAAGAACAGAAGGTTTCAGGGGTGCTTATTCCATCACCCATCACTTCTCTGTTACATTACTGAGAAACGATTAGGAACTACTTACATCACTCAGACTTGACTTCACATGGAAACCACGTGTGAAAAAACCACACAAATGTTAATACAGGCTCCTGGAACACCGGCACCTGTGTGACAGCCCTCCGCTCACCTGAGGGGTGGAGTCACGGTAAGAAGACCCTGGGGTCCGCAGCCAGGTGTGTCCCATGTTTTCCTGAGCAGCGTGGTGGGACTGCAGGGTGGAGCTATGAAAGGTGGAAGCCAGGGGTTTGGGCTTCCTCCTGAAGCTGAGAATGCTTTTCCAGAAGCTAGAAACAAGCTGTTCTATGCACTTCTTCCTTTTTAGTATTAATTGAAGCAAGAACTGTCCCCACAGGCCTCCCTGGAAGGACAGGACAGTGAAAGGTGTGCAGGCTGATGCGTGTGGGGGATTTTATTTTAGGTGCTTACTCTAGCAATGTTCCACAAATAGAAAAATGAGGAACTCTTGCAGATTATCTGTGTATCAATACGCCTGAATTATTCTGGCTAAAGTGACAGAAAACCCCAGCAGTCTGGCTTCCCTGACTGGTAGAACGCCGCCGTCTGAGGGTGGGGTGGACACAGGAGTTCCAGTGGTAGAGTCAGAACCAAGCTTCTCCCTCTCCCGGTCCAGTGGGTCCATTCCCAAGTCCTGTCTGTCCTGCCTTGCTCCTGTCTGCAGGAGCTGTTCCTGCTGTGGGCAGGGCAGGGAGTGGACAAGGCGGGGCTGACTCACTGGCCCTTCTCCTGGAGTTGCTACTCTAATGGCAGCAGATCCACAGGGAAAAAGTAAACAAAAAACAAATGAAAATCTTTCAATAAAAGTATTCTTAAAAAAAAGACAGAAAAGATGAGGAGTTCAGTGAGGCCAGCTGACTCCTCTGAACTGGGCGCTGAGTCAGCCTCTGACACTGAGCCGAATGCCCAGTGACAAACGTGACCAGCCGTGCGGGCAGGGGTGGGGCCAAGGACACAGCAGGCCCAGGGCGGTACTGTCAGACGCTTCCACTCCCTCACTTCATTCATGACAGCTGGGAAAGGAAACCGGTATTTAATGAGCAAATCTAAGGCTGCATTTTCTTTCCAAAGTCTCCACAGGATTTTCATGGTAAAACCAATGAGAAAATGCCCTTAAAATGCCCTTTCAATGAGAAGACCAAGTGTCCTGAGAACACTTTCTTTTAACTGCACGCAAGGGCTCCCCTCTTGAGGCATAATAAGGTGCTTAAAATAACATTCAGTAAAACCCTCTGGCTAAAAACTCAATTTTCAAAGCATATACATTTAAAAAAAAAAAAAAATCTCCGCTTAAATGCTTATTTTGACTTGGTGCCCAGGATCAATTGCAAAAAGCCTTCTGTTGAGAAAGGACCCTTCAGCCAAACTCCAGCTGGTGTTTCAGAAACAGAACTGGAGGAACAAAACCCATAAAACATGAGGCACTGGGCAAATGTGATGTGGGCTGGGATGAAACCTGTCCCCCCAGAGCCAGTCTCTCCACAGCACAGAGCTGCTCCCGTGCAGGCAGCTGGCTGAGGACCTGGCGTGTGTGTCCACAGAGGGAGGAGCGTGGCTGGGGAGGTGACCAGGGGAGGTTGGCTCCCCAAAGTGTGGCCTGAGAATGGAGCTGAGCTGCAGCAAATGCTTTTTACCCAGGGGTGGAGCTCCTTGGGCTCCTGCCCAAGGAACGGAGCTTGATGTGAATGGAGCTCTCCCTGCAGTGCTGCCAGCTCAGGGACCTGGAGCCCAGGGGCACCCTTCTGTGCCAGCATGAGGTCCCTGTCATGGCCTCTAGGAAGCCGGCTCCTTTGTCCATCTTTTGTTGAGGCCACCCTGCAAACCCGAGATCACCTCCACACTTCCCACACCTGCTTTGCTGCTCACTCAGTCCCTGGCCCATCTGCTCTGTCCCTCCAGGGAAATACAAACTGGCTCAAGGCCTGCACGAACAGGGGGCTGCAGCCTCCTGCGCGCTGTGAGATGCACTGCGAGCTGGCTTCCCGGCTCACAGGAGGTCCTGGGAATTCACTGAGACCCGAGCAGCTCACACAGAGGCTCCGTCATGTCTCGCCACACAGGCCTCGAGTGCCACGAGAACCGGTGCGGCAGGTGATGGGGATGGCGAACCAGCAGTGGGCTCTGTGGCTTTCCATGAGGTCACTTGTCCCTCTGCTGCCTGGCCAGCGCCACCCTCAAGGTGTCAGTGCCCAGGCGCAGGCCCTGCAAGCAGGAGATGGCCTGCTGGGCTGCGGCTGCGTCCTGGTAACGGAGGAAGGCCCTATGCCGCCGGCCCTCCCACATGAGCTGCAGGGGCACGGAACCGAGTTCCCGCAGGGCTCTCTTCAGATCACTCACACGGGCATCCCGGGGGAGGTTCCCAACATAAACATCGGCTGCAAGCGGGGCACCCTCCCCTAGTGGGGAGCCACAGGCTGCCTCCATGGAATTGGCTTCTGGCCCAGGTGTGTCCTGGGGCCTTCTGCCAGCACTCCAGGGCACCGTCTGCTGCCGGCCTGGTTCCGGAGGATGCCGGTGCTCACCCTGGAGGGTGACATCCTTCCCAGCCTGCTGCTCTCGGGCACGGAGGCTCCTCAGTACTGGGATTTTCTCCATCATCTCCCGGCTGATCTGAAAAGTAAAGCAGTTGCAGGTGTTCTCAGGGACAGAATCACAGGGGTACCTGCCACACACATCCGTACCTCTGCCAGCTGTGCTGCACACACAAGCTATGCAGAATGGTCTAACTCAGCCCCAGGAACATGGGACTCACACCATCCCACCCACTGTCTCACAGACCATGCCAACCAGTCTGTAGCTCTGCCAAACCCCACCCCCGGCTTAAGGAAAATCAGCACTCACGGGGGCTCGCTAGAGCATCTGCCCACATGCTATGGAGGTTGCAGGATCGGGCCTCCGTTTTTCTCCAGGCCCAGAAGCAGAAAAGTGAGGCTGGGGCTCTCCGCTCAGGCCTCCTCCCCAGAAGAGGTGCCTCAGGTTGCTATTATTGGGATTACAGGGCCACAAAAGGCAACACCCCTAATGGCCCTCTTCCCCTGGAATAATATGGACTGCCTCCATATCTGCCCCTTACCTGTGCCTTTGGGTGGGATGAGGAATTTAAGAGGTGTACAAGGGTCTCCTCTCCACTGAAAGAACATGCCTTAAGGGTCAACCCCTTCAATGCAGAGCCAAAAATGCAGAAACAAGGCAAATCTGAAACACGGCTTTGAAAATACTTCCTAGGGATGGGTCATTCAGCTATGAAATCAGCAATACTATGCAAAGCTTAAGTCTCAATTGTATGGGACTTATAGACAAAGGACATTGTTGGCTTTATCTAGATTTTTCTTATCAATCAGCTACTGCAGCGGGCCCCTTGGAACAGACTGGAACTGGCTGGATGCAGCCTAAACCAGGAAGACCTGAAGACGTTGTCCTTGTGGGACAGCCTGCACTGGGAGCTGCCTATGGGTCAGGACAGGTTGGGTGACACCTGGACCACCATGCCCTGTGCAGAAAAGAAAGAGACACTGCATAGTGCTTTCGGACAATTCTCATTCTTTAGAGATGCTTTTTATCTTTCTTTTGGGCACCAAGCTTTCACATGAGCATGGTCACCAAGAGGCGAGCTGTGGTCACCTGCAGGCCTCCAACAGAGGTGAGTATGTCCCAGTATGGGGCAGCACGAGTTAGAGAACTGCCAACTGTTCTACAAGACTAAATCGTTCAGCTAGTATCAGTGTTCTCATGACATTCAGAGTAACATGCAATTTAGAGCAATGGTTCTTATCCTTGGCAGGGTGAGAGAGGAACCTTTGCGAGGAGCTGGGGTCCCCTCCCAAGAATGACTCAGCCACAATTTTCTGTACAATTTCCCAGGGTCGATAAAGACCATTCATGTGCCTCCAAACTACAAGAGGTGCAGAGGCCCCAAGTTAAGCATCAATACATTCGAGTGATAAAGATACGCACACACCTAAGAGCAGCCAAGTGCGTTCCTGCAAACCTAAAGGCTCTCAGTCCTCTGCAGTCTCATACCTGGCTCTGTCTCCCAGTGCTGGGTGGAAAGTAACCTGCCCTTCCTGTTAAAGCCTTTGCTTTGGTAAGAGTCTCGTGGCGGGATGCCGCTGTGCTCCCTGGCAGGTGGCAGGCCCGTGGCCTCATTTTGGTCTTGAACGGCAAACAGACTGTTAGCTGTCATAGAAAGGCTCTACAAAGAAAGACTTTCTCCCACATTTCCCACTGTTTAGATACAAGGGAAAACAGCACACGTCTATGCCATGAGCACAGCAACAATGTGCCTTCCTGACCCAGAGGCACTTCTCTTCCACAGGGCCCTCTGCCATCCTGACTCAACTCAAGGAGCAGTAGCACACAAGCTCTGGGGCCCAAGGAAGCTCAAAGACAACCCGAGTCCAACCAACCCCCTCTTTCCTCACCTCTATTCCACCTTCTCAGAAACTTCAGACTTTTGTGTTCTTTTGAGACATTTGAAAATAAAGTGGTCATCATTTGATTTTGAAGAATGTTTTAAATTACCACATTTAGTATTGAGAACAGATGATAAAATTTAAAGCTGCAATGACGATGAGAGAAAAAGTGTGGCTATGCATTTATCTGTAAGAACTCAAAGCTACGTGGCTCTGAGTACAGTGCCAAGATCCTTGAGGTGTGGGCATCCCGTGTGGTGGGGGTGAGATAGGGGGTACAGTGAGGCATAGGGGTTTGGGGGCAGGCTGCACCCTCCAGGTAAACACTGCTCTTCTGATGGGGTCCATCAGGAGCTGCCCCAGCCCCGTCACCTGCCCCCTGAGTTACCTCCCCTCCCATCTATGTCCTGTAGCACCTCATTCTTGGTCGAGGCTTCACACTTGGGTTTTGCAGCAGAAATGTTTTGAAGCATGCATGGGAAAAGAAATATGTCCTTCCATGCGCACTGCAGAGAGCTCTTGTATTCTGCCAGCAAGTGTACAATCTGCTGAAGAATAATGAAAACATTTTAACCACACGTGCTGAGCTAAGTGGACAGCCACGACACCGACACACTGGCATCCACAGGGGGGTCTTCAGAATGGAAATGCGAAGCGTGTTCCATTGAAGTAAAATCGCTCTACTCATCAGCAGTGCTTTGGGGAAAGGATGACCAGGCTTCGCATCGGCTCCCTTCTCCACCAGCGCTAATGAAACCATCTTCATGGCTGTGGGCGGCCTCACCACTCCACCAGCTGCTGGCCATGTCCGCAACCTGTTGGACAGCCGGCCCAGTCCCTGCCACAGCTGACAGAGAGCCTCCTGTGTGCCACGGGGTGGCTGGACAGCCACGGTCACATGAGTCCAGGCACTGCTACTGTTTCCTGGCTGGCAATGAGGAACAGTTGTTATATTCTGTCAATTTGCCATGTGAAGTGAAAACATTTTGCTTCTTTATCAAAAGTGAGGAAACAGTTTTGCCTTTCTATAATCCTATTCTAAAAAAAAAAAATCAACTTTAAGTTAAAAAACCTGTCCCTTCATATTCAAATATGAATCCGAAATCTGACTCTCAAGATTTCTGATTGAAAGTCGGAAATCTGCTCAAAAAGCAGAAACTTGGGGCCGGGCGCGGTGGCTCAAGCCTGTAATCCCAGCACCTTGGGAGGCCGAGGCGGGTGGATCGAGACCATCCTGGTCAACATGGTGAAACCCCGTCTCTACTAAAAATACAAAAAATTAGCTGGGCATGGTGGTGCATGCCTGTAATCCCAGCTACTCAGGAGGTTGAGGCAGGAGAATTGCCTGAACCCAGGAGGCGGAGGTTGCGGTGAGCCGAGATCGCGCCATTGCACTCCAGCCTGGGTAACATGAGTGAAACTCCGTCTCAAAAAAAAAAAAAAAAAAAAAAGGCAGAAACTTGGGCTCCAATCTTAAGGCAACTACATGCTGCTTTACCATTTTGGATAAACGGCTGCTCTGACTCTTGCATTACTTGACCTGAAGATAAGGAAACTGGAAGGATGATCTTTGAATCCCCCTCGGCTTTTTTTTTTTTTTTTTCCCTTTAAGAGACAGGGTCATACTGTGTCACCCAGGGTGGAGCACAAGTCATAGCTCATTGCAGCCTCGAATACCCAGCTCCAAGCAACCCTTCTGCCTTCACCTCCCAAGTAGCTGACACTACATGTAGGCACTCACCACTACACCCAGCTAAGTTCCATATTTTCAGTAGAGACGGGGTCTTGCTATGTTTCTCAGACTGGTCTTGAACTCCTGGCCTCAAGTGATCCTCCCACTGTGGTCTCCCAAAGTGCTGGGATTATAGGCATGAGCCATGCTGGCAAAGATGAGCACACGTCACAAGTATTTCTAATAATAAGTTCAACCACCGCAAATAAAGAGTTCTCTTGCCTGAGACTAAATTTGATTGTTCACTGATGAAAATGCTTTAAGATACTTGCAAATGGCCACAGTGGAATAACCATACAGAGTAGCCATGCTCAGCGAAGGCCGAGGGATTGTGCTGCCTTCCATAAATATAAATGCCAGGTGGGCCCCAAAGCCTCTGCTCGATCTCTAAGGGCAAAGTCTCTTAGACGCAGCTCATGGAAACCCTTCTGCACACAGCTGATCAAAGGTGTCAGTTGGTATATATATATATTTTTAAAAAGGCTCAATAGGGTCGCCTCTTCACAATCACGCTTCTCCTGGGACTGCTGAGGGACAGCAGGGGCAAAGCCTGGATCTCCCAGCGAGGGAAGGGGCCCGACCACAGGCAGCACTGCATTCAACTGTGCCCCAACATTGGGAAGGGATGGTACAACTTGTATGGAAGTTACTATTTAGTAAAAAAAAGAATTCTTTTTTCTGGCATACAGGATCACCCTAAAACCGATGTTGTGAAATGCCAGCTTCCATCTGCATGCCATGGCTCCTGCCTGGCTGTCACTGAAAGGTCCCCGAGAGTGGCATGCCTCCCTCCACCTGCTCCAGAGTCCTGCCTGGGACCAGCAGCTGCTGTCTCACTTCCACACTTGGGACGTCATCCCTTGGAGAAGAGCAGCCATGTGCTTCACATCACACACACATGCCTGGGCTTTCCATGATGGCTATGCCAGTGTTACCTACACACACGTGTGTGTGAGTTTTAAGAACTGGTGCGTATTTAACTATTTTGGTTTCTGAAATCTCGTTTCTACTAACTGAGCACACTGGAACAGAGACACCTACCTTACTACTGTGTGGCTGGGTTCAAACGCACCTAGACACAATGTCTACCTTGGAAGATGTTTAACAAATTTACTATTGCTTTTCCTAAATATTGTTGATTATAAAATTAGTATATGCTTGTTATGGAAAAAAAAGTAGAAACATTTGAAATCCGATCTCCCAGAGATAAGTACTGTTAATATTCTGCTATATTTCCTCCCGTCTTTTCTCTCTGCCTTCCGACATACTGAGCAGAATAGGAAATTCCATATCCAGCATGTATAATGCCACACTGTGCCTTTTCTACTTTACACCACATGCCTTTTCTCACGCCGCTCAATATTCTTTAAAAGGCTGTATGCACTTAAATGGGCTCCCCCACCTCCATTTGAAGGCACTGCATGTCTTCTACAGAAATTCAGTAAATCCTTATCTGAATTTCTACGTATTTCTTTAGGACTGATTCCTAGAAGGTAAATTATCGGGCCAAATGTAGTAACTCTTTTTCAATGAAAGCCCCTCTTGGTACTCTAAACGTACTGGCCCAGTTGTGAGTAGGGGTTGGTTCACAGTTAGCTGCATTGTTCCTAGAGAATATATATATATTTTTTTATATGGGATCTGAAATTGTGCTGTGCTGTCCCAGGACTGCTGTTCACAGAGCAGCATTTTGGGCCTGTTCCCAAATCCCTTTTCTTCAGGTGTCTATGGATCATGCAGCCTACTGTGGCCATCTGAGGACCACCCTCCCCAGAAGGCTATGTGGGGGAAAAATGGGCCAAGCTTTGAAAGCACAAAATCATTTCCTTGAGTATAAACAGGAGACTGGCCCTAGGAGAATCCCGTTTCCTTCATTAAGGAGCCATGAGTTGACCTGAGAAAGTCGGACTTGCAGACCTTGGTCTATGGTATCCTGGCCACCCCCGTGGTAATCAGCCGTATGCTGATGGGAGTTCCCATGAGGAACACAGGATGGAGGAGAAGACGTGTGTGACTGACAGTCCTTCTACTGGGCAAAGGCCAAAAGCTCCTCTGGTTTGTGGCTGTGGTGATGGGGACCACAGGCTTGTGGACCCCCGAGTCGCTCCTCCTGAGCCCTCAGTCTCCCAGGCAGGCTGGCCTCGCCTTCGGTGCAGCTGAGGCTCTGAGTGTATAGCCATGTCCTACTGTTCCTCTCCACCTCCACGGCATTCTTAACATCCATCTTCCCCCATGCCCCACCTCAGGCCAGCTCTCCAGAAGCACAGCAGTGGTGTGGCAGATCTCCCTGTCCAGGTGCAGCTCAGATGGTGAGGAGCTTCGATGCGGCAGCCGCAGCACCTCCATCTCCCCAGAGGCTCCACCTGCTGGTGCTGTCCAGGTGCTCACTTGGGTCCAGCAGGTGGTCACAGGTCTCAACAGGAATTTCTGTTCTTCTGTTGTCAGTAACTCACAGGACACCACTCAGCCCCGGGAACTGGCTGGGCCTCTGCGTTTCACTCCCTGCACAGGCAGACTGGTCAGCGGCCGGGGCTGCTCTTGACACCAACGGGTCAGGGACTTCAGCCATTTTTGGTTTGCTACTGCACAGAGCGAAGGCAGCCAAATAGCTCTCAGCCCACTGCAGATCACCTGACACATGGCTGTCACAGGGAGGGATGTTCTATGACTGTCTCCAGGAAATCAGAAGACCACCTGAACTGGACGAACTGCCCAGAGGTTCAGGACCATGTTCCAACTTCAGATCCAGGTCTCTGGTATCATTTCCAGCCTGGCACAGGTCCTTGTAGCTGGAGGCTCAGGGAATCCTGGGTTTTCAGGGTACAGTGACCGGTGGATGGGGCAGCAGTGGCTGTGCATCTTGTGGCCAAGTCACCTTGAGATTCACAGGTCTGTGGGTAAGACGATCACCCCCAGAGACAGAAAGGCCCTCGAGGACAGAGGAGACAATGTACCTTCTAGAAAGGAGGAGTAAAAGCAGCGCCTTCTGTGGAATGTCTCTGTGCTTCTCTCTTCCTGACAGAAAGTTTCTGATGATGGTGCAGAGTACTGGAATGCACTTTCACCCCTTTCCCCAACCATACCAGGCTTCCTTTGCTGAAGAGGAGACGGGGGAGGAAGAACAATGGCTGCTCGTGGGGTGGGGGTGGTCTCTGCAAAGCACCTACACAGTCACAGGCAGTATGGAGCAGCCATGGGGCTGGAGAGCCGGGTCAGTGCCTCCCTCCTTGTCCTCCACCAAGAGGTAGAAAGGGCATACCAGGGCATCATGTGACAACCACGGCCACAGGAAGACAAGTGCAGGACCCCAGCTTGGCTCAGGGAGCTACCCAGAAGGTCCATTCTAAGGATCTGCCAACAGCACAGAGAAAGAAAAAACGCGCACGGTGTCCAGGAAGATTTCTCAACTTTATTAACAACCTGCCTCACATTTGTGACCATGATGATGACTGTGGCCATGCTCCCAAGCATCATGCTTGGCATTTTACATGCACTGCCTGGCACCCTCCCTAGGAGTTAGTGCTGATCGTGTCTGATTTCAAGGACAAATGAGGAGGCTTTGAGGGTGTGCTGGAGGTTACAGATAGAGCTACTAAGTGGGAAACTCTTGGCTGCTAAACTGAGCAATACGCTCACTGGCCCCCTGGTCTCCCTTCCTTAAAATCATGAGACACGGCTGGCAAGAGCCCCCACTGACGTCGACGGTGAATCAGGGAGATGCGTCGTTACAGTAACTGCACTCAAACAATCAGTGTGTATTAGACTGGTCTATAAGATTGGGCAGGATGTCAACTATCGGAAAGGTGGAACAAAGGCCAGGGAATCAGCTGCTGAACTATCTTTGTGTATTGAAAATGAGTAAAGAAAAGGCAGGGTTTCCACTTCCCTCACATCCTCCATCAAGAGATCTAAAGTGTTTGTATCCCAGATATTCCAGTAAGATACCCAAGAAGCAAATTCTGGGGTTCTACAACCTATAAACCTATTATCACTATGATATCATGAGAGGTATGACAAATACTTGCCAAAAAGTGCATTTGAAACAATATTATAACCGAGCACAGAACTGCCCCCGTCTTTATCCAAAATCCTTACTGAAATTTTGGGATTTTTTTTTTTCTACCAAAAAATGTTGATAAAGACTCACTTTGGCTGCATGGCTAGCAAGAGTAAAACAGAAACGCTGGGGGTTGGAGAAAGTAACTGATTTCCTCTGATCCTGCAAAGGGATTACCAGGTGGTAAAACTGAGAACAAGACCCAGAATGAGAGCTGGCTTTTTAGAAGTTTGAGTTTCTTGCTGAGGCCTCATAAGCAATGACCATTTTCCTGAAAGAGGGTCTTGACAAACAGCGAAGCCCCCAATGCCCTCCCCACCCCTCCACCCACCCCACCCCCCCAAACACAAACACACAGCGCTGACCCTGTTTGAGGAAGCTGTGGCTGAGTTTGGTATGCTTTCCTGTAAGAGGGTTATATTCATCTAACGAGTCCAATGGCTTGATTTGTTGCTACTTTTCTACTTTTCTTGTTAAAATCTTTAGAATGTAGGCAGGCTGTTCCTGTCTCTCTTCTGGGAGAGGCTGTCCAGGCTCCCCCTGACATGGCTACAATGGTCCCTTCCATGAAGGGCTGGCCTGGCGGGACTGCCGCAGCCTCACTGTGGCCACTGCCCTGTGCCACCTTTCCAGCACCCTGTTCTCAGCTCTGAGGAGTCGCCGCCCTCATGCTCCAGCTGGTACACTGGCTTCTACTTACAAGGAAGCTGTGGATCAAGTTTCACAGGTGAACCCAAGCTTGAAGAAAGACACCAAGGGATATTTTCATTTCCTGGGAGGGCAGTGACCACCTTCTCCCCAGTGCTCCAGGGGCACTTGGAGAGCTGCCCATCCACTTGTGGGTCACAAAGGCTGCTCCCCTCTGCTTTTATCCAGGGCCAACTGAGAAGGAGTGCATGCCCCGGGAGGCCCCAAGAGTGCCTGCCCAGGACACCTGCAGGGAAAGGCCCCACTGGGCTGTGGCAAACATAGCAAGTATTTGATATTCACCCTTAGAGGTGGATGTTGATTTTCCATGCCCAAAGGAAGAATACTCTCAGATGCTGAATGATTTGGGTTTAAAGAATGGGAGACGTTAACAAGTATGCTTATTTGACCAACAGTTTTGTCCACATGAAGCACAAAGGTCTCCTCAGTAATTCTGGCTGCTTGCCAGGAGAGAGAGTGTCATAACCTACAGGATGGCTTGCAGGGTGTCAAGCTCCTACTGCAGACTAATTTGCAACATGTGCCACTACCTCATCTGGAGATAAAAGCCACACATGCATCAAATGTCCAAACGCTTGGCACTGCCTTCTGCTCAAGCTAGTTCTGCTTGAAGATCCAGACTTTCAGTAAAAAAAGAATCTGGATTTAAAAACGGAAGACCAATGAGATACGGCCAGGCAGAGTTTGCTGCAACTGGGATGGCAGTAAACAACATTAAAAATGAAAACCAGCTGTCAAACAAAGCTTCAAGGCATTCGCCCTCCTAGCCCATGTGGCCATTTCTGCCATCAACAGATGCAGATTTTAAACCTAGCTGCTTTTTAGAATCCCAGAGATCTGTAAGCAGATTCTTAGGCCTGGGCCTGGAGACTGTCATTCAGGAGCCAAATTGTTCAAAAGTTTCTTGGCTAATTGTAATGTACAGCCACGCTGGGACTGCCAGCAGCTCCTGTGCCAGACACAAACACTTAAAAGAGGAGAAGCCGCTAGGCTACAGGCCAGAGCTGGCCATGGCCGTGACCCACCTTGGACCAGGTGACTCCCATTGGCTTTGGGCGCTCGCAGCCTGTGGGGATGACTCTGGTTGGAGTGAGAATGTAGTCGACAGTGATGTCGTGCTCCTCAAGGAGCTCTTCAGGGATGTCCACAACCTGGGGGAACGGGGGTGGGATAGAGGGGCCGTTGGGAATGCCACTGTGGGACAGAGGAGCCAGCGGGAGCACCTCTGCAGGACAGTGGGCCAGCGGGAGCACCTCTGCGGGATAAAGGGGCTGATGGGGCGCCACTGCAGTCATGCACGCTACACCGCTCGGTGGGAATGTGAGGCTGGCTAGAGAAGCACCCCCAAATCCAATCTGGGGCCAAGGCTTAGCCAGCACACCACTAGCAAGTCCAGCCCCGGCTGATCCACACCACTTGTGACAGGGCAAGGTTCAGTAGCAGACGGTCTTTTTCCCCACCCCCTCCCTCAGAAGAGAGTGGCAGTGGCTCTGCTCAGCCCCCTCATAAGGAGCACCTGGCAGTCGTGGACGATGGTGACCACTGGCGTCTCCTTGCTGATGGCGCCCATGGACACCATCATGGCATATTCCAGATCGGCGTAGCCTTCTCCCTTCCCGATTCTCCAGCCTAAGAGACAACCGAGAATCAGTATCACTGTGTGGTCCGGGGCATCACTGAGAAGTAGATTTTCCATCAAGTCCGGCAGAAGGACAAACAATATCCCTGGCCAATCGATAGAAATTTCCACAGAAATGCCCACAGGCAGCCCACACTGAAGATGGACTTTTGGGCATTCAACAGGAGTAACAACATGGCAAATGTATGACGGTGAAAACACGACGACATGAACACCGACGCTTTTAAGCATGTCACAAAGGGAAATATGGAAGCTTTATGTCAAAAAGACTCATATCTAAAAACAATGAAAAGAACAGTTTTCAAAAAGACTAAAAACAAATTCCTACTAAAAGGAAAATATGTTTAATCAGCTTAGCTTGGAGGGAAAATCGCTACTCTGAAGTCAGGACTTTGTGACGGCACGGCCTTGCTTCTGAAAAGGCACTCGACAGTAGCCACTGGATACCGGCTCCCGAGGGATGGCTGAACCAGTAGTAAAGCCGCTTTGAAAATCTGTCATTAGTGGCACAAGAAAAGGATTATCTGAGCCTGAAAGAGTAGCTAAGATGAAACAGAGGTTTAACAGTCTCTCTAGCCAAATCAGCTGTTCAGAGACAAAAATGCAGGAAGCCAGGGAATGTCAAATGCGTTCTGGCCCCACAGACAATCTACAATTCCTCTTATCAGAAGCCTGAGGCACTTCAGAAACTGAGGCCTGTGTGCACCACCACCAGCATCACTCCCAGAGTGCCCGCATTACTGCTGCTGTGTCTAAGACTCCCATCTGGCCATGTTACTCTTGACAATTCAAAACCTTCAACTGTGCATGCAAAGGAACAAGGGAAAGAAAATTCAACAGAAAAATAGCAAAGGATATGAACAGTTCACAGAAAATGACAGGCAGATAAGCAGCAAACATGAGAAATACTTGGCTGACTCCTAATGAAGTGCAAGTCAAAGGCAAAGGAGATACTACTCACTGCTCACTAGCAGACTGCTCAAAGTCAAAGCTGGGTCATTCCAGCAAGGAACAAGGGGGCAGGCAAAGGGGCACCACCCCTGGGGGCCGAAAACGAGAGGCCCTTCTGGTGGCAACATCAAGGCTGACAATCTACCCTTCAGCTCAGTCATTTCCCTCTGAGGAATTGGCCCATGGATAGCCTCAAAGGCACACCTAGACGATCCCACAGGACATACTTCACCCTAGCATGATCTGCAAGGAAAAAGACCAAAGCAAAATCTGGAAATAACTCATAACATACGCATCCATCGGCCAGAGTGGGCTCAGTTACTGAGGTGCAGTCACTTAAGAACACCTTGCCACTGCTCAACACAGGGGACAGGGAGGCCAGCCTGCTGCAATGACAGGAATGGGCTCTGAGACACATTCTCCAGCAAGGCATGGAGCTCTGTGTGTGCACTGTCCCTTCTGTGAATGTAGAAAAGGGATGTATATAAATCTATACCTATAAACTATAGGCCAGGTACAGTGGCTCATGCCTGTAATCCCAGCACTTTGGGAGGCCGAGGCAGGTGGATCACTTGAGGTCAGGAGTTCGAGACAAGCGTGGCCAACATGGTGAAACCCCTCTCTACTAAAGATACAAAAATTAGCGGGGTGTGGTGGCACATGCCTATGGTCCTAGCTACATGGGAGGCCGAGGCAAAAGAATCACTTGATTCCAAGAGGCAGAGGTTGCAGTGAACTGAAATCATGCCACTGCACTCCAGCCTGGGTAACAGGAGCAAAACTCCAACACACACACACACACACACACACACACAC